CAAGAGTCCTTTTTCTTGTCAATGTTTTTAAGAGTCTGGACTCTAGATCCAATGGGTTTTTTTTCCAGTGAGGAAACGGCTATGAGTACGACCCTCAAACTCTGGTGAAATTCGACGGATTTTTTTCGAGATGTACCAACTGCGCGTGGACGATAGTGGGTGCCAGACAGGCGGGCTACCTCGCCGGAGCCGCTGCTTGGAGTGTGGCGTGGGGGCCCCTGAACCCTCGATTATAGGTCACAGTGGGCGGGCGGCCNCAGAGGGGGGGGGGACCACTTTAGATAAATCTCCGATACGCGAACGCCTTGCGCCCGCGCCGAGCTGCAGAGGTGCTGAATGACCCAAATCAAAGCCCGCAACCCGCCATACATCGTCACCAGATCTTCGTCGCAAAATCGATAATCCGTGAGGGGTCACGAACCCTGGATTTTTGGTGCCCTTGGGATCGGTGAAAAATAAGGGGGCGGCAGAGTAAGCAGATTTAGGGTGATGACTGAACTCAAGTATCAAACTTTCTGATTCTTCTTGAAAAAAAAAAAAAAAAAAAATCCTGACTGATTGGACTGATTGAATGGAATCGACCAAACAGCATATAATGTTGCCTAATTTCTTCTCGTGTTTCATTTTTTTGACGGGGTAACCGAACTACTTAACGCTTTTACACGATTTGTGCATTTACCCTGAATAATGAGGAATATACTCATAAGATTTCAAGTTAGCGTTGCTTAGTTTTCTACTAAAAAATGATGTGTCAGAGAAAATTTGGCAACATCTAATGTAATTACACTGATTTCTGCTATAAACGTCCGATTCTGGAAAAATTCCCTGAATTTACATGGCAAAATCCCTCGACTACATTAGAAGTCGACCTCACCTCAGAGCTTCTTGTTCCGACATGTTTATACTCAGGGAAAAGGGGGGGGGTGCCCGAAGAACACACGGAATATTCTCAAAATTCCAAGAAAAATTGGGAACCTTTGCGCGGCGCAGGGCATTTCTTCTCTGGCGCATATCGACGGTGAAACTACCAAACCACGTATCTCGGTTTGCGACGTCGCAGACTTCCTGTCATACTTTATTTTTTAAATGAAAAACTACTTAACATTCAGTCTTGAAAATTTCTGTGATTTTTCCTCTTTGTGCGGAGAAAATTCCGTGAAAATTTCAAGGAATAATATTGATTTGGTCGACTTCAAAAAAATAAAATGCGAGCGTAGATTTTTAAACACCGCAAACGAGATACGTGGTTTGGTAGTTTCACCGTCGATATGTTCGTATCGGACGGGTTTTCTTTTGTTTTTCCGGCGCAGTTTGGCGCGGGTGGCGCCCAAGTTATTTTGATCCGAGATGAATCAATCAGCCCCCGCGAGCTCGAGACTGAAACAAGAAAGCGAGTCGGACATTGGCGTCTGAATCGACGCCCATCGCAGACAGAACGAACATGCGAGAACTTTCCATTTCAATTTTGGGAGAGATGAATTCAAACAGAACTTTACTTTGGGCGCAGAGACAACTTATTTTAGAGACCCTGCACAAACAATCTGAGCAATGCTATGGGGTGCGGTTGAAGTTGAGTTCGGAGGTCAACGCATTTTTCAGCTTTATGATGCTTGATGAGCAACTTTTTTAACCAAAAATCAAAACAGGTTCACCAACGACTGATTAATATCAGGGTGAGTACTTTAACGGACGAGTTTTTGCGAATTATACTGGGAAAAAAAGACGCTTGGATCTAGAGTCCAGACTCTTGAAAACAATGTCAAAAAAAATATTCTTTGCTTAGATCGAGAACCAAGCCTCTTAATTTAGGCGGATTTCCTTTTGATTCAAGCTAAAGTTCGATTGAATTAAGAGGATTTTTTCTTGTCATTGTTTTCAAGAGTCTGGAGTCTGGAGTTGATCCAATCAACTTTTTCTCCCAGTGTAGGTTAGGATTGCTGAACCAACTGCTTAACTCTTCGGTCATAACGTCTTTCCTCTGTCGTAAGGGCATATCTCTACTTCCATTTGAGCCGCGAATAGCATAGAGTTTTACGGGCAGCACGGCGAAGACAGCAGTGCGAAGTGCGGCAATATTAGGTGAAAAATCCTGGCATTCCCTGAAAATTGTTTCGACCGCGATGGATCCCTAATCTTTGCGTTATTCCAGGCCCTCGATGACACCACGAATGACTTAATCGCTTGGTAAAGATGAAAATTTAGTGTGATAGATTGTGTACGGTAACTTTAACTTTACCGTAATTTAAAAAAAAAGTCACACAGCGATAAAATGACAATTAAGGTAACATTACAATATTCATGCAAAAAATCTACAATGATAAACAAGGCGAGCTCATTACTTATACTTTACGAGATATTCAACGTTGAATGAGTATTAAACGCTTTTTATATCAATTTCAAAGTATGCTAATGACGTGCAAGTTTTCATGACGAGCGACCCTGCATGCAGCGACGGGAGCATACCACCTCTATGTATGGAAACTACAAAAACACAAAGCGATTTGCGGCGTCCGTCCTATAGTACCAACTTTTCAAAACTTTCTACGGCGATTTCATTCACTTGGTCAAAAAAATTCTTCCTGCTTACGTGTTGAAAAATAAAATAACAGAGACAAATGCGACAAGAACTGTACCGACTTTTTTTTGTCAAGGCAAGCTCTGCGTAAAATTCTTTGGCCATACACTGATAAAAATATTTGTGTTCTTGCGATACTTTTGGTTGATATAGGAAGTGAAACACAAACTAACACAAATTTTGTGATAATTTTAGTACAGTTAGCGGTGAATTTAGCGCAGAAAACAATAGAGAGACTGGGGAAGCATTCCACTGATTGCGACGTTGGTATCTGCCACTCGCTTTTTATTAAATTTCTTCAAGAACACTAGCTGGCATTTACTCTTGAATTGAGGCTAGGGTTTTACTACCCGTCGCAACCAAAATTTTGTGTTGAAATTTCTCTCTGTAGCTTTATTTTCGGACTATCAATTTTCGAATATTCGCTTAGCCCTGATCCTAATCACGGCGAATAATCGAGACCTTACCGAAGTTCCATTCAGCATTTACAATGGACCAATAGACAAGGTACGAATTTCAGCATTCTGATGCATGTTTCGTGACTAAAATTTCACGTAGAACACGATGCGCACACCAAAAATTACCGAAATTAACTCCTTGCGAAGATATTTAATGATTCTTGATGCGTGAATTCAAACCACCCGCTCATGAAAACTCAATGCTCTACGTGATTCACATCGCGCGTTTAACGTTTACCATGACAGTCTCTGCGATATAAAAATTTGGCAACCTTAATTTTGACGCTTTGGCTCAGCTATAGCAAATTGCTTATAGTTTGAAAAACACATGTTGGGAAATGAACTTTGCTCGATTGAGAAGATTGCTGAAACCGTTGTAATGCGCGGTTTGACTCACGTAGAGCTTTGAGTTTCTGGTGAGCGGGCAGTTCAAATTCCTTGTAACCAATGTGAAATAAAAGAGTTAATATCTTCGTTAGGAGTTGATCTCAGTCATTTTCGTCGCGCGAATAGTGTTCTGCGTGAAATTTTGGTTAAGAAACATGTATCAGAATCCTTTAATTCGTACCTTGTCTAGTGGTCCATTTTACATGTCTATTTTTCTCTCTTGGTGTACGTGTTTTCAAATTTTGACTACCTGTGCCGGGGTCTAATTTTACACCTCGATTTGCTCTTCCGGCTGACTTGGGTCCAATTTCCCTTCAAGTTGCATCGTAAATTTTCCCAGCGGATTTTTCCGCGCCCGGCGAGAGGCTGGGCCCCTCACCGCTCACGGCCGAACACCTAGGAGCACCTCACGCTCGGATGCCAAGTTCAAGCGCACGTACGACTTAATTAACGACTATTTATAGCGTCCGTGCGAAACTCCCGGAGCCAGACACAATGTAAATGGTGCGAGACATGCACGCAAAGCGTCAAAAAATCATCGTGCAACGTGCCATTTTTATTTAGGATGACAGGAGTCGCCGTAAATAATAAGTCGGTGGTGCGGCCGGGAGACTTGAACGCACGGTAAGTGTCCACTTTTCCTCGAATCATGCCAAAATGATAGGAGAGGGAAAAGGCAAAGAGAAGAGCCGGGCTTGAATATAACTGGGAGTTGCAATGATCGTTCGATTGATCTACTGTGGAAACTTTTGGAAACAAGCGGGAAAGTTCGAATACGTTCGTATTCGAGAAGCGCTCAGCTGTTCCCTGTGTAGGCGCGTTTTTAGTTCCCCGAGGAGGATGAGAAACGTTGAGTGAAAGAACTCGCCTCACATAAATTCTAACTTTCAATTGTGAGAAAAGCGCACTACTGTTAAAAAAATAAATTAAAGAAAACCGATTATCGTCCTCTGTTTATTGATATCAGAAGCATTAAATAAAGGTACAACAGATAAATCTATTCTAAATATTTGAGGCCCCTATCCTCCATCTTATTGTTGAGCCGGTGGTGCATTATGTCGGCACAACAGGAATGGACACAGCCCTAGTTTAACCATGCAGTATATCGAATTTCGATGTATTATTGGGCTGCTTTAAACTTGCAAAAATCGGCCCGGAGGCTCCACCTGAGCAATTAGGACTAGAATTTTATTAAGTCGATTTATTACATAATCTACCAAGCTGTGGCAGTGCGTAAAGCAATTTCTACGTTAACTTTTCAGTTCTTCAAATTTTTCTCTCTTTTTTTGAACAGTGCACGAACCATTATTGAAGAGAAATTTTATCCGTTTTTTTCGCTTGTTATCTAAGACTTCTCTTCATTCTAAAGAGGGAAAGGAAAAATGCCTCTTTTGCGCCTTCCCGTGTAATTTTTTTTCATCAATTCAAACATCGTTCACAGGGGGAAAAATCTACATGAATTTCATTCAAGACCGACAGCATCATGGCTAGAACTGTCCGAAACTAAACTAAAGCGAGCAGGAAGAACCAAGCAGCACATTGATAGCACGTGTACATTAAATAATGAACTCAGAACTTACGAATAGTCCCAACTTCCAATCTTAGTCGATCTGGAGGAAGGTGAATCCAACAGAAGGAGGGACGCGATAGAGAGAGGCAAAGACAGCACAACAAAGGAAAAACAAACCAGTTAGTGTTCAACAAAGTCAAAACAAGCTCTACACGAAATGTTAAAAGAGAGCGAAAAAAGTACAGCGAAAAAAATAATGATTACTTATAATTTCAAACTCTATATTTTATTATCAATTATAATAGAGCGAATTTTTGAAAATTTCTAGAAGGGTAATATTGTAATGTCAAAGGTTTAAAAGTATAGCGAAATGAATGGAACTGTAGTCTGAGGTATAACAATTCACATCAGAGTCAGTCGAAAATCACGATTCTTCGTCCTGTTTAAAGCCTCAGTTGAAAATGAAACGTCAAATACACCGCTTAAACTATTCACTTTTCAATGTCTTTAAGCTTTTTATTGAAAAGAAGCAAAATTATTCGATTTGATGTAATTGAAAAAATTATTTTTTTTATTAGGTTTCTGGTCGAATTATGCCGAAAAGAACCGATTCTTTGCAGTGAAAATAAATTAGAATATATAATGGCTTAGAAAAATTATAAACTCTTTACTCTTTAGGGTGTATAGCTCTATGAAGGTGCAAACAGTTATCATAATTTTACAAAAGAGCATTCTATGAAAATGTTGAATATTCTTATATAAAAATTGATCCCTTAAAGTTGTTTTCTACCCCATCAAACCAACAAATGTACTTTCGAACTAGCGCTTGATGGCGAGGTTATGCAAGGAGCTAAATACCTAGTTTCAAAATTTCTACGAAACAAAAGAAAAAGAAAAAAAATCACACGTAAAAATTGAGAGAACTGGCACGAGTAGACGATGCAAGTCCATGGATGCTTTCTAGATCCGAGGAGCAATTCTTTTCTGATTTCCTACGGGAGTTGGACAAAAGTAATTGAGGCCGGTCGTGATTTCGAGCTCTAGCCGATAGGATGGGGGCTTTTAATTAATACGGAAAGTAGAGAGGGATGAAAGGGGAAACCAATCAAGTTTGCATTTACGATACGAAAAGACGCACTATTTACGAGACAATTTTATGGGCTTAGTTAGACCCACTGACGCGATGGCATTAATGATGACGTCATTGGACGAGCGACCCACCGTCCACTGTTGCCGCACTAAGACATTTCTGGTTTTTTCCCTTTTTTTTAGGAGCAAGAAATTTGTGATAATTATCGATTTTAATGTAAATCATAAACAATGATTCCTCTCTTATCGGTTGAGCAATGAGCATGGTCTTTTTGAATATACGTCCATTATAATGTTGCGTGGACTTGCGGCGAAAAAAACACATTTGCCTTCAGTCTAGCCCTGTTAAGTGGTTTCCTCTTCTTGAAATATCAAAATTATTTCGCGGAAAACATTCAATGACGGTTTCCTTACACTTAAACTGAAATCGGTTTTACTTCGGTTGAAAACAACATGAAATCACCTGAGTCCCAAACCGTAGAATCTAAAGTAAAATTTTGCAGTTAAGAAACGTCTATGATACCGGTAAATTTGGCAGACACCACACAGTCTGTGATCCTTTTTTGCACAGCAAGTAAACGGTGCACGCATGTAGAAATCGTACTCACCCTCTAGCCAGGCGTTCGAGTGAGTGTGCTCTTAATTTTACGACCTCCGATAAGCCCTCCCTCCCGATTTAAACCCCCTCTGCAAGTCCAATTTTACGAGTATAGACAAGAGCTAGTTGGGGGCCACGGCGCGGCGTTGTGGGGAGATTCAACTGGAAGGTCACGGATTCTCAGCAGTGGCGTGGCATTCTTTGCGATATATCGATTGATCTGCCATTTAAACCTATAGAAAAGGATCGATGGACAGGGTGTTTGCACCGAACACCTCAATAATCGATTCTTTACCATGGCTTTAAATGGGGAAATATCGATAATCGATCATTCACGCCTCACCACTGATTCTCGTGGTAACGATATGTTTCGATACAAACTGTTTCATGGAACGACCAAGTCACGAGAAGGTTTCAATTTTTTTAAAAGAATCGATTTATTTCTATTGACAGATCTGATTTGGGAGTCTGATTGGGATACAATTTGACACAAATCGATATGTGCCTATTTAAACGAGGATTCTCTTTGGCAAATTGGGGGCATCAAGTTTCAATGGGCTTTTAAGCTGTTTCAGACTTAAGTCCCGATGAGGATTCGATTTTTTGAAAGCTACTGATTCATCGTCATTGACGGTATTGGATGAGGTCATTTCATTGATGGAAGTCAATTTCATATGATCGATGCATGTTTTAATATAAATTCTCTAGAGTGGCATCGCATGTCTTAATCAGTCGGTAGACTGTTCTACATTAAAGCTGAAAGTGAGGGAGAAACGGGTTGAATGCTCGATATGTATCGATTTGTCTCCATGTGCTACCGTCTGAAAAGAGCACAATATAAAGCGATGCCGATATTGAATCAACGGAGAATCCTTTGAATGACACTACGTCTGAAACAGCCCAGGATGTCAACAGACTTCCGCATCGCGCCTTCAATTTTGCAAATGCAACACGGACATCCATCAAGCACGAATAGTTGTATCTCTGCGCCGTCATCAACTTTTCCCGATTTGTTTGGGTTTTTCTACATTAGAATCGAGTAACTTCCATGAATTTTCCAGTCAATAATATTCATATAAGGCAATTTTAGCTATTTTGACAAACCATAAATTGTCAAATTGACCAAAGTTCTAGGCTTTCCTCATCCAAATCTTAATTTTTGAATACTTCTTCCGACTGTCGCGGAAAATTATACAACAGAGAAAAATCGACCAACAGAACAAATTCTAGCGATTTTCACGGAAATCCCTGTTTAGTGGTTCAATTGACATTTTGGACTAAATTTGTTTTTAAAAAAATGCAGGTTTACTGATCCGAATTACGCACGTTCGGCTACGTGTTGTTGTTGACTCGGCGTTTTAAAAAGTACGCGCCGACTCAGTAGGAGTCACATTGCCTCTTCCTAACTTCATGTCGTTACGTCACAAATAACTTGAATAATCCGGTGTCACTTCAGAAATTAAGTCGGTTAATGATAGTTTCATGCTCCGCATGACACACCTTCCACCAGAGATAAGACCACGCATCGTGTGAAAAATATGTGTCGTGACAGAATTCCACTTTTTCAAAAATATTTTCGACTGAAGTAACCGATCTGTCAAATTAAACGCTTTTAAGTGCCGCTCATCCAAGTAACAGCACGATGCCATTGCACCGACTGACAGCGAAATATTTCGGATTGAGTTTGTTTGTTCTGAACTCTACTGAGAATTCCTCTTGAAATCCCTCTAGAAATTACAATGCGGATATCTTGACACGATAAGCACTGACAAGTTCTGCGGGAAGGGAAGCATCAAGGAGCTTCAACTTTAAGCACTTCTTTCAAATAGCACCGTGGACGTTTTAACCAAATAAGGTATTCTGTGCTCGGTTCGAAGCTATGCAAATTGGCAACTTTGATAGAGCTTACTGCACAAGAGTAAGATTAATGACTTCAGTTGAATGAACTAATCTTTGGTCGGTCCTTGAGCCCCATCAAGTTTTCAGACAGGGGCCGTCCATAAATAACTACGTCGGGCATTTTCCCCGATTTTTCGACTTCCT